TGGCTCCGAGGCAGAAAGTACCAAAGCAACAAGAGCAAAGGGGGAATGGCAGCCGAATGGCAAAGCAGTCAGAGCAAAAGGGAGGAATGGAGGCAAGCAGCTTCTTTCTCTGCCTTACTTTGTAAACAGGCTACCCCCACCTAAGGGGTATGTAGCTCTCACATAATCTCCATGCCCTCCTCTTCTACAGGCTCAGGAAGTATACCAAGTAAGCACCCTGGCTTCCTGCTGAGTCACTTAGCCAAACCTCTAGACTCCCCAAGTCACACAATGTATCAACCATAACAGTGTCCCTCTAAGAGGAAAACAAAAAGCTCGTTTTCTTTCATAATCTCTTCCTTTCCTCCTCTCCCTCCTCCTCCTCCTTTTTCTCTCTCTCACTTTCTCTCATCTCTGTTTATTTTAGTTACTGTTCTTGATGCTGATATGAAATACTCAATACCCAAAGTTAAAGGAGGAAAAGTGTACGTGGTGCACAGTTTGTAGAGCTTTGAGTTCATAGTGGGCTGGCTCCAAGGCAGAATAACATGGCAAAGGGGCCTCACAGAGGAGAAATAGTTCATGGCAGACAGGATGAAGCAAGGCAGCAAGCAGCAAGCCAGGAAGCAGCAAGCCAGGACAGTGAACCTCTTTCTGTCCCTTATATGCTACCCAAGCTACACACCCTGAGGGCGAGTATCACTTACACCCATGGTGGGCCTTCCCCTCATTCATACCCAGAGCTGTGCCAAACCAGTCAACTTAGAAATCAAACACCCTTGGGTTCCAGAGTCATACACTTAGTTCAGTATCACAAGTCTAGATCCAGCCACCTCTGAGAAGCTTACCTTGAACACATGAGGATTTGGGTGAGACATTTAGACACAAGCTACAGTGTTACCTTTCTGCTACATGTGGTAAGTAGCAAGAAGACAGCAATTGAAAAGCCAGAAACTAAATCAAGCAGCTCTGTGATCTGGGGCTGCAACAGTGAGCAATGTATTTCTGTTTCTAGCCATCTAGTTTGTGCTTTTTGGTTACAGTAGCCAAACTGATAAAGGAAATTCTCTCCTGTAAATAGGTGGAGACAAATCAGGAGGACTTTGCTATTTTTTTCACCATACCTAAAGGTATTCTCTCCCCTAAAAGGGCAGTTAGCTACAGGAAAAGGAAGGACGGTGGGAAGCATGAGCAGATGTCCTGACTCACGCAGAACTATAACTGGGGAAGTCTCACCTTTGACCTGTTGGCAAAAAGAAGAAAGCCTCTTCAGAAAGATTTTCTCACTTTCTTATTTCCTGTCACAGTATTGCTAATCATCTTTTGAATCTGATAAATTTACTTCAGTCTCAGGAAAAGAGTCCCCATTTTGTAATTTAGGCCGTGTAAATGTCACCAGATAAGAATCATGTTCACAATCGCACTGTAAAACTATGAAGTCTGAGTCTTTCCTTTGAAGACCCTTTCATATGTCAAGGTGATAGGTGACCTGGTTGATCAAAGTTAGATCCTTTGGATCAAAGCTTCTGACTTCTTTTAGTTGACGGAGTTGATTTCATACCCATCAGCCTTTAAAAAAATCAGTTTCCCATATCCAAAAAATTATTTACAATACAGATATATGTAATAACAATATATTTTTTTTTCCAGAATGAGGAAGACAACTCACGACCTCGCGCTTGCCAGGCAGGTGCTGTGCCGCTGAGCTAAATCGCCAGCCCGTGTAATAACACTAGTAATGGTAAGAAATGAAGGTGTATGACTTTTAAAATTTAAAAATACTTTTGAAATATTGACTAAAATATCCAGCTGTTGGCCTGAACTATATTGTTCTGTTGTAGCAGAAAATGCCCCCCAGGCAGTTGTTAGTTGCCTAAGTAATAGTTCTTGCTGCAATTCCTATTATTTCTCTCTCCTAGAAACGGCTGGTCACTGTGACGCATATTGTAAGAACCAATCAAAGACAGCCACGTACTCTGTTTCTTGCTTGTGACCTCAGAGAAAACTCCCTCCCGCAACCATCAGGCCTGATATTTTGGGAATGATCCCGATCAGTGCCCATCAATGTAAATTAAATCTGACTCCAAGTCTTAGGTGTCATTTTGATGTTTCTGCTTGCCATTGCACTGACAATTGTTATTTGTCAAAGAAATTCCTGGATTTAAATACACTTTAAAAACAAACTGATAACACAAAAACAACTTTTTCTGAAAAAAGACAAATTTTTTTGTTTCCTTACAAGAAGAGGAAGGCACAATTTTATGTCACTTATAATTTATAAATAAATTAGTAATGGGTAGGTAAGTAAAGATATTATTTAAAAAATCATATTTTGATAGGTCAGAAGAGTCAGACATATATAGAAAATATAACTGTTAAAACCGTTACTATTTTCAATTTTCTGCCAATGTCCAAGGTTTAAAATTACTTGTCAATGGCCTCCAAGAGTAGAGGAATGAAGAGATGGTTTGGAGCGCTTTGCAGTGTTACCGGCTTTCGCAGAAGCAGTTCGGGGACACCTGAATGTAAGTCACTGCATGTGCTGAACAGAATGGTGTGCGGAGACATAACACGGACAGACTTGTGGAAAAATAACCTCAACATCAAGCTTTTCACTCACCATGGACTAATCCCTGCACTTGTTTCTTTGTTTGTTCATTTGTTTGGGGGTTGTAGAGACTTCCTAGAAGAATACAGGGCATCCACTTCCTGTTTTCGGACGTTCCATGCATCGTTTAGTAGGGAGAGCAAGGCTTTCCTTGGGGGCGTTTCTGAGCTCGAAATGAAGATAGTCTGAGCATTTCACCGTTATAGACCTTCCTGTTTTTTGTTTTTTAAACCAGGATCTGGTTATGGAGAAGTTTTATGTAGTTCACACAAAACTGAAAAAAAATATATTTAAGAAAACATCAGAGTACGAGATTGTTTTTGTTACACGTCAGATATTTTAACTGGTAGCTAGAGGACATTATGTCTTCAACGTATAGAACTAAGAAATACCTGAACAAATGTTCCCAACCTAACACAAACTAGGTTTAATAGGTAAATTTCTGTGTGTGCGCAGAGTGCAGGCTTGTGAGGACGCCCCGTTCTCCAGGGTCACCCCAACCCAGGCGCCTGCGGTGCCCCCGTATGACAGAGGAGCCCACACATCCGGAGCTGCATCTGGTCCTTACAGTAGCTCTGATGTCCATGTAGGGAATGACCTGACATACGCGGAAAGAAAAACTGAATAAATCAAAGTGATATTGGGGAAAAATTTGAAAAATACTTACCATTGAGTGTTGTGTTACTTAGGCTATTTTGATGGGAAAGAAATAGATTTAAACTGGGTGCTGTGGCAAGCACCTGTAATCCTAACTACTCCACAGGCTGAGACAGGAGGATCACTTGAGCTCAGTAGTTCCAGACAACCTGGGCAACATAGCAAGTCCCTGTCTCAAAAATAAATAAATAAATAAATAAATAAATAAATGAGTTAATTAAAATAGAACCAGGTTTAATTACTCAATGAATGAAGAGGATATAGAACAAGTAAAAGAATTTGTCAACTGCACAGATAAACAATAAAATTTTACTGATTGCAGTTTGAATTTTAAACAGATGCCCATCCAGGTTGTGCATTCAGTAAACCCGGAAATCAGCTTCCTGCCACATAAGCTCTAGCCTTTTTATTTTAGTAAGTTCTAGTATTTCATATAGCAGGACCTCAAGACAGCACACATTCACTTCTTATGAGATAAGTTAAGATATCTATTAGTCCTTATTTGTCTTTAAAATGCCTAAAATGGAAACAATTGGGCAAAATCTGAGTTTGAAGCTCTGGGGCTATACCCTAAGTTACTCCGAGAGGGTGCATTTCTCATCTACCTTCCACCACAGCTCTTGGTCTTTCCGTTGTAGTCATGGAAAGGAAAATTAATGTCTCCTACCACACCTCGGTGCTGCAGATAAATCTAAACCCTCTCTAAGGGCAGACACATGTGACTCCTATTCCTCAGGCAGTGATGAGGAGCAAACACTCCTCCTGACTTAAGGCAGATATAGTTGATGTGGTAGCTGTGTACACTGCAAAGTAGAAAAAGAGTAGAAAAGTCAGGAGGAATCAAACCAGTTCCTCAGATGTATAGGTGGTGTGTTTGTTCTCATGGTTTCTCCATCTGCCACCGTCCCTCTGGCCTTACTCCTTCCCTTCCCTCCTTCCTTTACTCCTCTCTTCCTCCTTCCCTCTCTCCCTTCATTTCTTCCCCCACCCCTGCCTACAAGCTTTTCTTGTCACCTCTTCTATTGGTCAGCAGACTCTGGTACCTATCAATTACCTATCTGGTACCTACCTATTATCTTTAAGGCCCTACTGGTCACAAAGATGTGTCCATCTACCTTACAAGGAGCCAGGCTTTGCGCAGGCTGCCACCACCTGGTCCCCTCCAGTCTTTGCTTATTTCTTTGTGAAACGTGGCTTAACACCCTTTCCTGAGAAGAAGGGCTATGGATGTGCAAGTAGGGAAAGTGAAAAGTGCAGAGTGTGGGCAAGACCTGCACAGTAACTGTGGTACCCAAATACGTGCCAGGAAACTCTGGGCACCCTGGTGCCATGAAACAGTGCTTCATCAGCTTGAGCACTCATCTGTACCCCGGGATGCATTCATAGCTCATATTACAATGGAGGAAAGTGTATCTCAGGAGGAGCAGAGGCCTTTCGCATGTCCACAGTTCCTGGGAGATAAATTGAGTCCCAAACTGATTCCCAAGGCTCAACTTTATTTAGTAAACACTTTAGTTCCTTCAATGAATGATAATGCACATTTTCTTTACTCATTGTATAAAATAATCTCTTAGGAGCATTAATTCCCTAGATGAAAGATAATACATCTTTTGTTTACTCACTGTATAAAATAACCAGAAACAACCCATCATCAGGTATAATAATGTACAATCTAATACAATAATGTACAAAGGTTACATCAGAAGATTGCTGAAAGGAAGCATACCAACAAAGCAAACAAAAAATAAATGTTAGGGAATTCCATTGTCAAAAATTTTATTCTTGAAATTCTTAATGGAATGATGAGTAATAATTGGTAATCCACATTGAACACCAACCATAAAAATCGCTTTTATTTATATGCATATAATTTTAATAAATCCCTGCTATGTAATGTAATTATTACATATTCATGGGCTTTGGTGCTAGATCTATTAATTTAAATGCTGTATTATATACCTTCCTATTTGATCTTAAGCACATTATTTTGATTTGTCTATATATGAATTTACCCTAAAAACATGGATAACTAGCTAGGCACAATGAGAAATACCTCTAATCTCAGCTATTTGGGAGGCTAAGGCAAGAGGATCACAAGTTTGAGGTCAGTCTGGGCAACTTAGCAAGAATCTGTCTCAAAATTTTTAAAAATAAAAAGAATGGAGAGTATTAGCTTAGTGGTAGAATTCTTCCATGTTTACTTACTAGTAACACACACATCAACTCACAGCGACAATTATATTGGACTAATGAAGTTATCACAAGAGTTACATCAGAAAATGTATATAAGATGACTAGCACAACGTGTGTGTCAGTACATATAGAACAATAAATAATAGAGTTATGCATATCCACATAAATATTCAGCGGATTTAAGCCATTTGGCCCAAATCATGTAACTACTTGTAGCTTTTAACTCAGGTAAAAAAATAAAGTTCTCTTCTCCACCTCAGTTATCTTCTATTAGGTACCACGAGCTTCTGGAACATGTAAATTTGAAAATTAATGAACATAAAATTGCAATTTAGGCAATCTATGTTTTGTAACAGGACTTTTTTCAGCCACTTTTGGTTTTGGTTTTTCTCCAGTACCAGAAATTGAACTCACAACCTTGCACTTGCCAGGCAGGCACTGAGCTAAATCCCCAGCCCCCTTCCAGTCATTTTTAGTTATTGTATTTTATATGAAACAAGAATGTTTTAAGGAAAAATAAACGTTCTTAGGAGTTGACATGTTCTAATATATTCTGGTGTTTTATATTGCTTGAATTTTAGTTTTCAGATCCTTGCATTTTGATTGACCAAAGAGGAAGAAAATTATTAAAAGCAATTGTGTGTTCTTAGAAGAGATACATTTAAATACTCCTTTTGAAGATATAATTTCAATTTTTAAAATGTCACATGACTTCATTGTCTCCTTTACATGTAATGTTAAATCGGGAAAGAAGGCAGGCTTCCTTTTCCCTTCTTAGAAAATGTTTTTAATGTTTCCTGAGAGTAAAATGTGGATGCAAAGTTGGGATAGGAGAGTGGTACATAAGCTCAGCCACACTGGCAGATTATAAAGAAATGAAGACGAAGAAAATGGACAGAAGTCGTCTGCATTACCTTCTCAATTCAAGTGCTCCTGCAGTGAGATATGAAGCAGCACAACTTCTGTTTTTTACTTCTGGCTATAATTCTGAGAATGTTCAGAATTATAGCTTTTTAAACAGAATTCAATAATGTAGTTGACAGATATGTGCTATCTACTGTCTTTGATCACACAAAAAAATTAACTGGTAGTAAATATGAAGAATCAAAGAATTCATAAGATAACAAGAGAGGATGATATACCCCTATTACTTAGTGATAGAAATACTTTCCCTGGTGCT